GTAACGGTAACTTAATGAGAAAATTAATAGAGAACAATGAGAATAAATAAATAGTTCTGAACACAAATAACGCAGGCTCAAGTTTACAGGAAAGTGAGTGAGTGAGTGAGTGATTGAGTGAGTGACAGATTCGTCCCCCTCCAATAACTCTTCGATTGCTTCGCAATCTTCGAGTTAAAAAGGAAGTTAATAGTGATGATAAGATAAGTTTGATGGAGGAATCAAATCCTTCTGAGTTTTGGAAGTTAGTTAATTCTATTAAAGAAAGCATTTAGGTGCATCAAATGATGTCTCGCCAGCTGAATGGTATGATTATTTTAAAAATCTCAACAAGCTCAATTTTTCAAATGTTAGTGAAGCATGGCAGTTATGAATATCATATTGTGAAAAATTTTGACTTTTGGTCGTCTAATTATAATGATATCCTAAATAAACTTATATCAGGAGAAGAAATTTTCGAAACTGCAAAGAATCTGAAAAGTGAAAAAGCAAGTGCGGGAGATTCCATAAGTAACGWAATTATTAAATGTTCTGTAGGAGTTTTGGAGTCTTTCTATGTTAAAGCTTTTTAACGCAATCCTTTTCAGCGGAAACTTTCCACGTACATGGTCGGAAGGATACATTGTTACCTATTCATAAATCAGGGAGTAAACTAGACCCTGGAAATTACAGAGGTATTTGCGTGAGTAGTTGTTTAGGAAAATTTTTCACGCTAGTTATGAATTCGCGTTTRTGTAAATTTTTATGCTCAAATGATATTTGGAACAAATATCAAATTGGTTTCAGACAAGGATTTAGAACTTCTGATCATATATTAGTTCTAAAAACGCTAGTTGATTATTATAGAACAAAGGGTAAACCACTTTTTGCTTGTTTTATAGATTTCAGAAAAGCTTATGATAGTGTATGGCGAGAGGGTCTGTTTTATAAGCTAATCAAATCGGGCTGTAGCAAGCGTTTCTTACAGATACTTGTCAATATGTATTCATCTGCCTGTTCGGCGGTAAAGCTAGACCAAGGAATAACTCCATTTTTTCGTTCAGAGAGGTTGGAGTCAAACAGGGGTGTAATCTTAGTCCTACTCTTTTTAACATGATTATAAATGACATCCCTGATATCTTCCGTTCTCAAGACTGTCATTCGGTTTCTCTAGGAAACACGAGGTTAAATTGTTTTCTCTATGCTGACGACTTACTTATTCTATCTGAATCCGAAACCGGTCTGCAATGTTGTTTTCAGAAATTGGCTGATTATAATAAAAAATGGAAATTAAATGTTAATTTGAAAAAGTCAAAGGTACTAATTTTCGGGACACCGGCAAAAAGGCGAAGATCATTGTACTGTGCTTGGTTTTTAAATAAGCAGCAGTTAGAGTGTGTCGATGAATATACATACCTTGGTGTGACATTTCATTATTCAGGCGGGTTTAAAAGAGCTAGAAAGGTTTTATATATTAAAGCCTTAAGAGCCTATCATAGTTTATTCAAGTCATTTTCCAGTGTGGATAATGTTCCTATTAAGTAATGGCCCGAGTAAGAACTATAGAAGCAAACGGCAAAGGAATGCAAGAAGGTGCTAATTGTGCATTGTATAATCCATCCATCCCATTGGTTAAAACAAGAAAATCTACTATAATTTTACAAGTTAGCGCATTTTCTAATATTTTATTTAATATCTGATTCCGACTTTATGAAAGCTTTCTTTAGCTACAATACTAAGGCAATTCTATGTGGGGAACATAGCAAATTAGAAGCTTCTTTTGGCTATTGTTTTGAGTACTTATGACTGGATAAGAGGTTTTAATACAAAAGAAACTTTGTTTCAAAATACAGTTTATCCACATTTTATTTCAAAAATGCGTTACTCATAGGTTGATATATAATCACTGTGAAAACCAAGACATTATATTTGTATGTGGGGAAGTTGCTATGCCGCAGAACAATAGAGAGTTCTACAGTTCTTACGCGCATTGTTACTTAAAGTCTTAATAAAACTTTTTTCGTCGGTTTTATTATATGCCTGCGAAGTTTGGGGTCCTAGTCTTTTAGGTAAAGTGAAAAGTCTAGACGTTTTTAAATAGAAAATGTTTGATTTTACTTCAGACGTAGAAAAACTTCACTTGCGATTTTGTAAACGTATATTGGGTGTTCATACTAAGGCGGTAAATATTTAACACTTATTTACTGGAACCGAGGGAAACAGTATGTTTTGTGGTCCCGAGACCGCAAAACATACTGTTTCCCGAGGTTTCCGGTAAATAAGTGCTTTATTATCATATCAAGTGTCAAAGAGAGCAAAAAACGTAAATAAATGAAGTGTTTTTATTAAAGATTTTGATATGACTGAAAAATGGCTATACAAATAGTCAAATGTCACTAAAATCAATCAATGTAATAACACAATGAATACAATAACTATTTGTAGACGAAATTAAATGTTTCAAAACAATTTTGGAATTCACCGTCCATAAATGTGGCATTTTCACGACACTGAAGAGTGTTTTTCTGCGATTTTGTACTTATTGACGGTCCACAACATATTATTGACCGCTGGTGGACAGTTGCCGGGAAACAGTAAAATTTTGTGACTTTCACGTGGTACACTCTCGWCYAATAAKATACTRGGAAAAGTGAACTTTGACACTTGATATATAATAAATCAATTTATGCCGAATTGGGTAGAGCTCCATTAATGTTGCAAATCTCTAATTTAGTGATAACATACTGGTTAAGAATTAAAGCTACTGAGTATAGTGAATCTTTRGTTGGCAAAGCTGCAAAGTTTTGTTTAGAAAAGAAAACACAAGAGGTAGTTTTTATTGAATATGCTCTGGAAATATGTGATCTTAAGTCTATCCATGATATCTTCATATATGTATTGAAAAAATGAAAGAGTTTCTTTCAATCTTAAAAGAAAATACTCACAAATGCTTTTCTGAATTTTGGTCAAATAAGGTAAATAATAGCTCAACAGGTCATGGGAAATTATTTTTCTTCAAACAAGTCAAACATGATGTAAAAAGCAGTGACAAAATTAAGGATTTCTGCTCACAATGGAATTCCTTACGAACAGCGTTTTTGTCCCCTTTGTGACTTTTAAAAACGCGGTTGGTAACGAATTTCATTACTTAATGTCATGCAATAACAACATTGTAGAGTAGATTTAATTAAAGCTGCCACACCTGGTAGAGTAACTTTTACTTCATTGTTGAAGTCAAATGCTGCCATGCAATGAAGGTAAATAGAAAATCATCTTTTAAGGCAAAAGGAATCTTGTTAGCGGTTGAAATGATTGAGAATCTTTATTAGTTAGTTTGTTTGTTTGTTTACATTTCATATCTTACAAAAAGACTATAAAAGATTCGTCATCTTTTCTCATTTCTTTCGTAATTTCTATTTTTTTAAGTTTTTTTAAGTCATATTTGTTAGACAAGCAATTGCWGTCTTTTACCATTATTTTTCTACAACAGTTATACTAGCTCGCTGTATAGTGCTAGTTTGAGATTGAGTATGTGTCCTTTCGGGTTAAAGTACAAGCTGGAAATACCTTTGTTTCCGATGACAAATTGGTTTCTAGATACTTTTTAATGAACATGAAAACAGAAACCACAATCACAAATTCCGTATCAAAAATGCAAGAACTTATAAAACATAAAATYAGAACCAAGAAAAGCATCTTCAACCGAGTTCAATGTGCATCAGTCAGTCCGTTCACTGTAATTATTCACAACGCAATACTTCCTATGGCTCGTGTAATGGAAAATGAATATTACGTTCATCACCTTTACGATCATAACTATTATGGCGTACGATAAATTTTACTATTTTTTTTACTATTTGAGGTGGTTTTCCACAGTTGCATAGGCCATAAGAATAATCTTTTTCTAACTAAATAAACTACTAAGCTGCGTSCTATCGGTTTGATAACTCGTTATAATAACCAAATTTCTAACTTACTGAACTCACGAACTAATTAATGTTTTTTTCGAATCAACACAATAATTGTCATTTATCATATGATTATCTATAAAATATTTCTCCATTACGTAAAGTTGTTATTTTCACTAGTGAAAAGAACACATTCATGGTATCTCTATATATTGGAGGTAAWTAAAAGTTATCTTAAATATAATTTGCTTTTTATAGGTACATATTATATTTTCAACACTCGAAGAAAACATCTGTATCTCCGCGCACCCATGTGATATCTCCTATAAATTATGTTATAAATTTTTGAAGAAGCAATGATGAAAGAAGACTTAATTACAACGAACCAGCAGGTTAACTAACCTTATCAAACAGGTCTTGAATTTCTTAATTAAACATTAATGTATATTTGCCAATCAAGGAACACTATTAACAATAATCTAAAGAATAAAAGTCTTTGCAAAGGTTTTACAGAGCGTCTCCAAGTGTGTGGCAGTCCACGCTAATAAGAAATGAGGCAAATATAATCAAATACATTTAAAAAATGAATAAATACTTTAAAAAATAACTCCTCGTCTTACTACTCGGTCGGTTAGAGATAATGCTATATATAGTCTATATAGATAAAACAAAATATGCAACCAATCCAATTTACTTTTCTAACATTGCAGTGAGAAACAAAATGATATCTTTGGTCCTTGCGTTGCTGCTTCCATGGCAATCTTTGTCAGAAAGTTGCCAAAGCTCTCCATACGCGATTCCAGGATTCAAGATTCATGGTCACGTGATCAAAACCGTTCCTTTATCGACCAGAAGTCAATGCGAGCATCAGTGTGCTGCACAACAAGGCTGCAACAGYATCAGTTTTCATCAGAATAAAGGAAAGTGCGAATTGCATGACGGTAACCACATCTCAAATCCTGAAATCGTTCTTCCAAGTGATGGATACACCTACGTGAACTTTCCARCAAGGCCKCCAAAGAGATGYAGTMGTAAGTYATGCAGCTATCCGTTAGCATGTGTGCCGGAGGGCAACAGTTACAAATGCGTCACTTGTGAAGGTAAGAGATCATTGCGCCATTATTCAATGCCAATCATCTTCTGCGCACAATGTTTTCACTTTTAAGTTTAACTTCTAGTAAAGATTCAAATACTTCAAATGTAATTCGTGCAGGATTATCAAAGTTGTGCTACTGAAAACATCCTTGACACTTTTCTCAATTTTTGTTTTGTTTCTCATTGAAGGGGCAAAGGCAGAGCAAGTTTTGAATTTCCCAAGGAAATCTGCTCAAGATTATGCTTTTCTCGACGGTCCATTTGCTCCGTTGAGCGCCTTCACACTTTCTCTATGGGTTCAACTAGACAGCTCGGGTACATCATATTCTGTGCTGCATTATGGTGCGACAACCAATATCTATGCTACTAATACCTACATCGGTGTTAATGTGATTGACAATGCACAGTAAGTTAAAACTTTGCATACAATTTAAGAAAGATCACCAGGAGTTCATTGCTTGTTTCTCTTAATTTTTTTTTTTTGCGACTAATGAGCAGTCACTTCCTCATACGTATACGTGCGGGCGAGGATCCGCTGTAAACCTTAATAATAAGCAAGCATGGCGCTCGATAGTGAAAGCGTGCGTACTGGCTTCTAGTTTAAGTAAGCGATATCAAAGAAGGAACAATTTAAAATCTAAAATAGTCACGACTACGAAACACCCCATATAAGGACATGGACGTCCCTTGGGCCCCTTGAGATCAACCATTTTATGTTTCCAGTATATTCTTGGCTCTCGACCCCGTTTTGGATAGGTACGTGCCGCCAGCGGTCTAAAACCCTGACCCTGTTTAAGACACTAGAAAGTAAAAATCCATACCCTGTTCAAGACAAATCGGAAAAWAMGGAGTCGCTATCTACGCCGCAACCATCAAAACTGCAATTATACTGACATCCATCARAGACAATAAGAAGTTTTTGATAACACGTTAATCCTGCTACAGTGAAACGGTATTTCTTATGAAAAATTACCCTGTCCAAGACACAAAAAAGAATTATATCGGTCTTTTATCTAAATTGTASAGCCTGTTTAAGACARTTTCGGGTGAAATGTATACCCTGTTTAAGACAGCAAGGCCAAAAACCATACCCTGGMMAGCGGCACGTCCCCGTATAGCAAATATACTGGCTCTCACCACGAGACATTTAGCATGACATCTTAAATCAGTAGCTTAAAATAGTACATATTGATTCCGTTATATTTTCATAGTCAAAAATGAATTTCTCCTGTGGATCGCCTATGGAAATGTAAGTCAGAAAAGATGCTACTCGGTGTAGATACGGTTTAATATCGCTTACAACAATGACAGAGTCCTAAAATTCAAACCACAAAACTATACTAAAACAAAATTATACTAAAGTAACAACAAAATCACACTAAGATAGAACAAAATTAAACTAAAGTAACGGAAAATCTCACGAATGATATAGACCCGTCCTATATCTAACAATGATACAGAAGGTCGCTATTTCTAACTTASAAGATTGAGCCGTTCCGATGTAAATTGTGTTTCTTCATACGATAACTTAGAGGTAAAAACAAGTTCAATTGCTTGAATGAGCCGATCATCGGTTGTTACTACACACCCTTTTAATAAGTCCCGAGGTATTGTGTTCTCCGAACTTGACGTCAAATTTATTCTTTTGAAATTTTTACAATACAAAAGGAATTGAAAAGAATAAATTTGACGTCAAGTGCGGAGAACGTAATACCTCGGGACTTATTAAAAGGGTGTATATTATTAGCTCCTAGTGAACGGCTTACAATAGAGTCTGTCGTACGAGTTCTATATATGGATGTCCACATGCATACATAGAAGGCTCTCATGTACCTACACGTGGTTACTCATAAATGCCGTTGTATAAATATTACAAAAGTTCAGGTTCAATCATCATGCAAACGAATTGAACTCGTGACTTAATGGTTAGGTTTAGGGAAAATAAAGTTCAATAGGTTGTTACATTTTGCCCATATCGGAGAAAAATATCGAGACTAAATTGACCCWTTTCCGACATCTAATATAAAATGTTCATTTCCTAATATACATAATTTGTTTTTAGATCTCTCCAAAACATTAACCTTGCTGACAGCAARTGGCATCATTWCTGCCTCACCTGGGAAAACACAGGTGGCAACATCAAATTCTACATCGATGGTGCAGTTAGAATCGCATTTACCGGAAATCAAGGCCAAATGCTTAGCAGTGGGTATATAGAACTTGGCTATGGCCCTAGGACAGGAACCGGTACTCAAGATTGGAAAGCTCTGATGGGAAATCTGACCAGCGTAAACATATGGAGTAAAGTGTTTTCTCCAGAAGAAGTGTCGGTACTTGCTTCAACATGTCCTACAAGCGAGGGGGATGTCGTCCAGTGGTCAACTTTGAAGACAAAGGGAGTTGGCATGGCGAAGCTTGTGTGTTCCAGTTTTTGCATGTAGAATGTCAAGTGAAGTTGTTTCTTTCAAGGCATCTGGAATTATTTCCACGTAATATCAAAGGAAAAGTCAAATCTGTTAATTATAGTTCACTGCAAATRTGTTTTGATCAGCTGTRGAAAATAGTTCACTAAARAATTACAAGAATGTATAYGCAACAATAGAATAGGTTTCTTCATATTAATAGACTATAGAAAACATGAACACAGTCACTGTTAAAAAATGATCTTTCTTAGATATACTTACTCTATAATAAATCTATTAGAAAAGGAGGACACCATTTCGTGCATTGACAAGGAATATTTGAACGAAACTCAGGAGCTGAGGAGGGGCGGGCAGACGGGAAAGTGCCTCTTCTAGTTAATGTGTGACCCTGCGAGCAGAGGATTTTACACCCCCTTCTTGAAGAAGAAAAGGAAAATTAGTATTAGTATACTACTAGTATTGTTCCTTTTCTTCGAAGAAGAAAAAATCCTTTGCTCGCAGTGTAGCTATAAAAGTGCAAATGAACCAACGTTTCTTACATTGCTTGATATATCGACTAAGAATTGTTGAAAAATGGATTATAATTCAAAAGCGTTTATAACAGAAATGGATACCTTAGAATCTCCATCATTTACTTTTTAAAGAAAAAAAAAGGCTCCGGAAATGCGAGAGATGATTCCTTACTTAGTAGACGGCACACTCGGACCAGGCTCCTGATTCYAGACAGAACGCATTTTTTCGAACTGTCGGGAAATTCAGAATAAGGTTAAACATCGGGAATTCATCCAATTCAAAATTCTTTTTGTGGCAATTTATTTTGAATATGATAGAATATCATCGAATTTGAAAAAAAATCATTAGCACCTTAAGAATGAAAAGTCATTACTGCATATGCCTTATTTACGATTGGTACATGCTTCTCTACTAAGAAAAATAAGAAAAGAATACTAAAAAACAAGAAAAATGATATTTAGAGTTAGTAAAGAAGATCCAAGTCGAGTCAGCTATAGCAACCCAAAATTCACTAAAGACGAACCCAGATGCAAGAGGTGGCTTACTCAATGACATCTGGATCTAAGTGTAAAGACAAAAACTTTCAGGAGGAGCTGACAAGCAAATGTGGTGCCCTTGCTTCTTTCAAATAATTTTGTTCCTGGCAAAGGTTTTCAAAAAGGTTTCCAAAAAAGGCTTATGTAACGTTTTTATGGTCAAAAACGATTTTGATATTACTTGGTGGGAACTAGCGGTAAACTAGTGTGAGTTGCGTCGGTGTTTCTAAAGAAACAGTTGTGTAAAAAAGATAAATTAAACACCGTAAAAAAGTAGGTGAAGTAACTTACTGACGTTGATTCTCAAAAGTAAGTATTAAAATGAACTTCTCTTTTCCCACAACAAACTAAACTGACTGGAATCAAACTTCTGTACGATAAAAATCACAATTGTTTCATTGAAAGTTGTTTGATGACTTATTTTTCATTCCCAGGTCAATGCTGTATCATATTTCGAACACTTTCGAATTCAGGTCTCAATTCTTCAACAACATATGGCCTTAAACCAGGGTTTGAAACTATTGCACTGATTTTAGAAGTTCTCACAACTACGAACAGTGCTCTGATTGTGTATGCACACATAGACCTAATCGGCTAACGCTTTTTCGACCCAATTCAAACCACCCGGGAGTAAGTTTCAGTATTCAGTACTATTCATAGTGCTATTTATTTTTATCCAAAAGCTGCTCATAATGCATGACATTAGACCGAACCGAGTTCTTCGTATAGTTTTCTGGACTGAAAAACGGGATGAAGATATAACTTGCTTATTTCCAGCTTGATTAGTAATTTGATAGAAATAGAAGCTTCGCATAGATAACTTTTATACCAGGAACAATGGTTGTATGTTTTGTTAGAAATGTTGACACATTTTTACCCATATTTAGTAATTATGGTTTTGGGATTTAGATTAAATGTGATTTATGAATTTTCTTGTGATTTTTGATTTTTTTAAAAATACATAGTATAATTTTTTTTGCTATACCTTTTTATTTAAGGAAAAATAATTCAATTTATGATCTAAATTGGCAGTTATATTAGTTAGATGCAATGTTTTAATACGATTGTTACAGTTCAAGTCAGTATCACAAATTACTGCAATTTTGATAAAAGCTACAAAATAGATCACTATGTACATATTCATAATATCTTATTCTCTATTTCGCTTTTGGTGTGTTGGTATTTTGATGATTTTTTGAATGCATTTATTTGTTTGAGCAAACATAAATAAATAAAACTTCTTTAATAGTTGAGTTTCGCGATCTCTTTTACGCTGTGTTAGCCTCAATTGTGTGCTAAAATATTCAGAAATGTCGATAAAATTCGTGAGATTTCAAACTATTTCCATTCTTCTATACTCACAGATCTCTTGCATTTGCACGGGCTGTTAATTTTTTTGTTCTCATCAATTAATCATATTTCAATGGCTATAATTGAATAGCTAATATGTAAATAGAATCTTCTTTTGACAATAGGTCTGCTCTAGTATGTTAAATTTTTTTTCGTTAATGAAGTGCTTTTTAACTGGACTGTAACAATTAACTACTTCATATTTTTCTTTTTCGTTGACTTCAACGTATCTTAGCACGAAATAAGTTCGTTTATTWATAAACCTTAATTAACTGCACCACATTAATGGTTACAACACAATGGACACAACTTAATTCACTGGTATTTACTTAAACACCTTAAAACAGTAGAAAGAACACTAGAAAAAAKCGAATTTTGGACCGTTACATCATATTTACATCAAATTTACAACCTTTAAAGCGCCCGATAATTTTTTTCCTGTGGAATCACCTGCTAATAAACTAAACGTCAATGACAAATGCCTACCATGACGTCAAGAGGTCTAATGAATAACAAGCTGCCAATGGCAACATAACTTGGAGATTGGGAGAGCTGATGYATTTTGAGCATTTTTAACAAATTATTTAAGTTATTTATTAACAAAAACATGTAATAGGTGATCATAAAAAAAACATAAAAACAAGATCAGAACAATATTGGGAAAAAATGCAATTTAACATTTAAATTTGGATTACAACTAACAAGATAAGTGCAAAATGTGAGTAGCAAATGCCTTCATGTATTGAAAGAACAAGTGAATTGGTATATCATAACTTTGTTTTGAGCTCCTTTGTTGAAATATGAAATCCACAGCCTAGTCCCCAAGCTTTCCTCGTTTCTATTTTTGTAATGACGTCACAGTGTACCAGGAATTGCTTCATTATATAAGTGTTTTCCGAAGAAACCACTTGAAAACGGTTTAGCAAAATTTAATATCATATCTGTTTTTGTTACAGTGTTAAGGGAGTAGGGAATCACCGATTTGGAATCCGAGTCGAGTTAGAGTTTATTTTAAGTATTGAAATGAGATTTCAAACTATTTCCATTCTTCTATACTCACAGATCTCTTGCATTTGCACGGGCTGTTGTGAATAAAATAATTTATCACATGGTTTTGAGGCTAACACAGCGTAAAAGAGATCGCTAAAAGGGTTTAATTGATGATTGATAAAAATCAAAAGAATAAAATATATTATTTTTAGTACTGTTGGAAAAAATGATCTCAATGATTGAATCGGTTTACATCAATGTACATCAAAAAAGCAATATCTATTTAACTCAGTCTTAACTCGGTCCTAACTCGAGATCTAACTCGAATCCAACTCTAACTCGACTCGGACTCCAACTCGGTGATTCCCTACTCCCTTATTACCAATAACACTGTAACAAAAACAGATATGATATTAAATTGCTAAACCGTTTTCAAGTGGTTTCAATATGACGTCTTTGTCGCCATTAATGTTTTCTTCGGAAAACACTTATATAAGGAAGCAATTCCTGGTATACTGCGAACGAGTTTGGACTTCGGTATATACTTAAAAGTTGCGTCTTCTCTTTATTTGGATTTCGGTGGCCTAACGAGACGCTTCGGAGGCATGCGGTTTTTTTTTCTGTTTTATTTTCTGTTTGTTTTCATTCTTTTCACCACAAGAACTTAATGACTTTATACGCGAGTTGAATCAGTCTTCCAAATGGCTTATGAATTATTAATATACATTTTAAGTCATTTCATAAACACTCACCACACGAGTTGTTTAAAATATTTTTCATGTTTATACGTTATCATTTGTCACAGTTAATTGAACAAAAAATACGATGAAGAGGGGCGGACATTTTGGAGAAAAGTCTATTCTTCTCATTGTGCCAACGTAATGTAAACATATTGTATAATACTTTTAGGAATTAGATTCTGTCTAATATATATCATAAGCATGTCTAGCACTCATACTTATTCGTGATTGCTGCTCTCTACCCTAGTTCCAGAGGTTTTCCCTTCTTTTCTAGATGTTTATTTAGTATTTATCGTATTTTTGTCGTTTCTATTTATAAGCAAAGAAAATGATAAATACCAAAAAAAAAAAAAATACAGAAACGAAGAGAAAACCTCTGGAACCAGGATAACTACTGTCTTATAAAAGTTGTTTTTTATAAAAGATGTTTTTTAACTCGGAGATTACGTCAGCAATCGAATCGCTCTGTGACTCACTAAGTCACTCACTTTCCTGTAAACTGCGTTGTTGCCTTAGTAACTGTTATCTTTTGACTTATTAATTTTTAAATATTCATCTTCACTACATTTTTCTTTTTTTTTTCGAAGAGAAAAGAAATTCATGTCCTCGATGGAGCTCGAACTCCGGACCTCTCGCGTAAACGGCAAAGACACAACCACTAGACCAAGTAACCATTAGACATTACGTCATCATTATTTTACTAGGTTTTATCCGACACTTGATCAATCAATGGGTTTTCTGTGTCATAATCGATAAAACTGCTTCTACGAGGAACGAAATGTCGTTTAAGATTCTATTCTTTTGCGTAAAATGTACAAATTGAAAGAAGTTTTAACGGTTTCCGCTTCGAGTGTGTGTCGACAGAAAGAGTCAGGGAAACTTCCTATTTACACAGCAGCCGGGCATGCATGTAGACACTTCGAACTTTATGTCGCCTTTGTATTTACATGTAATTTAAGCTGAAGGTTTTCCTTTCATAAATTTCGATGTCTCTCTGAACTAATAAGCTTACATTTTTATCAATAAAGCTTAACCCGCTTAACAGTGATTGGAAGAAAAGCACTGGAATAATTCTGCAAAACTGCAAATCAAGAGCATGAAGAATAATCAAAGAACAATGTCGGATTTCACAGCCTAGTCCCCAGGCGTTCTACACTTGGTTGGCGAGTCCTGGGACGAGACTCTGTGAGCGCCAGAGAACGGCGTTCCCGAGACAGTCACTCTGTAGCGTCATTACAATAATAGAAACGAGGAAAGCCTGGGGACTAGGCTGTGGATTTCATACTTCAACAAACGAGTCAAAACAAAGTTATGATATACCAATTCACTTGTTCTTTCAATACATGAAGGCATTTGCTACTCACATTTTGCACTTATCTTGTTAGTTGTAATCCAAATTTAAATGTTAAATTGCATTTTTTTTTCCAATATTGTTCTGATCTTGTTTTTATGATTTTTTTATGATCACCTATTACATGTTTTTGTTAATAAATAACTTAAATAATTAAAAAATTGTTAAAAATTCTCAAAATACATCAGCTCTCCCAATCTCCAAGTTATGTTGCCATTGGCAGCTTTTTATTCATTAGACCTCTTGACGTCATGGTAGGCATTTGTCATTGACGTTTAGTTTATTAGCAGGTGATTCCACTGGAAAAAAATTATCGGGCGCTTTAAAGGTTGTAAATTTGATGTAAATATGATGTAACGGTCCAAAATTCGATTTTTGCAGTGCTCTTTCTACTGTTTTAAGGTGTTTTTAATTACTTAAAAGTAATTACCGCTGAATTATTGTGTCCATGTGTTATAACCATTAATGTGGTGTAGTTAATTGAAAAGGTTTATAAATAAACGAACTTATTTCGTGCTAAGATACGTTGAAGTCAACGAAAAAGAAAAATATGAAGTAGTTTTAAGCACTTCATCAACGAAAAAAATTAACCACTAGAGCAGACCTAATGTCTAAAGAAGATTCTATTTACATATTAGCTATTCAATTATAGCCATTGAAATATGATTAATTGATGAGAACAACGTAGGTATGGGTTGTTAGAAATTGTTAGAGAGGTTTGCATTGTGACTAGTTGTGTCACTATGGATGCCGAAGACACCGCGCTGGATTACATCAAAGGTAAATTGAAAATWTACAGCTTTTTACAACATAATGTTCTAAACAAAGTTCTTTTAAAAATCTACTTTTTTACATAAAAAGGGAAACTAAGGTAAAAAAAAAAATATCAAACAAACAAGTCAGACGTATTTATCTTGAAAATGCAAAGAATGTATCGGGTTTGTTTATCAGGGCTTTTTTCCTTCCTCTCTTACCTAGTCATGCTATTTTATTTACACTAAAAAACAAAATGATCATGAAAACACTTTTTGTCCTTTTTTTWATGTTGACCTTTCAAGGAATCAATAATCTTAATGAAAAATTTTAAAACTGTATAACGTTATCAGGCGGATTTTCAGTGTGAAACATACGGGATATGTCTTACAAACATAMAATTGCACAATTGCAAATCGCACTCTTTAGTCGATTTGTTAATAAAAATGAAACCAGCGAATGCGAAATGTCATGGCATTTCAGGACCGATATCTGATTGCTTACGTAATCCTCAATTGACAAAGGATTACATTTATTAAAAAAACTGCAATTATTTTCACTCAAACCTTATCGAAAGAAGCTTTTTAAATTTTCACAAACAAAACTCCGACGTCCAAGAAATCGACTTACTTTTGCTCA